TCTCCATGGCAGGTCTCTGTGGGCAAAGTGGTGAGCCCTTATCCAGAGGCCCCAGGAATGCCAGCTCAGCACCACCTGGACCAGGCACAGTTGAAGGGCAGTGGAGCAGCCTCCCTGGACCTGGTGTGTGCAAGGTGGGGGAAAGTGGGCAGCCCTGGCTCTGCATTGTCAGTGTGTGAAGGTGGGGGAGGCTAGGATGGTGGGGTGGGTCTGAGTATGACAGATAGCAAAACCACGTTTTGGGCACACAGAGGCTCCAGATGCCTCCCTGGTTAAGACAGGGCCTGGAAAAGGGCCCAGCCTCGTAGGTAGAAGTTGAGTCCCTTGCCAGTGGCACAACGCCAGGCACATCACCTTACTTCCTGGTGCCTCCTCTGTACCAGGGCACTGATCCTATCACCCACCTACCTACTGTGAGTGGTCAGGGGTGGGTGGGAAAGTGGCTGGAACCTTCAGGGTGCTGGACATTCAGAGGAGAGGAACCATGATGATGTGCTTCCCTGGGTCCCCGAGCTCAGTGTGCAGGGACTGTGTACCTTAGCACCAAGCCTGGGGGACCAGAGAGTCCTCAAGGAGTGCACAGTCTGGTGGGCAGGACTATTCCAAACCCAAAACCCTGCCTACAGGACCCAGTCCCCCAGCCTGCTGCACATGGCAGCCATGTCTCAGCCCCTCCAGCTGCTCTGCCCTCCCTCACTCCACTCCAAGCCGCACTGGCCTCATTCAGCTGCTCAGATGCACCAACTTCCCCCTACCTTGGAGCCTACAAAGAAATGCTGTTCCCTCTGCCTGGAATGCTCTTTCTCCAGTTCCTCCCACAACTGCCTCCTTCTCAGCTGCTAGGTTTCCACTCAGTTATCACCTGCTCAGAGAGCTCTCCCTTGCCCTCTCTCATTACTCTCTCACTGTCCTCTAGATAGGCTGAGTTTAATCTCAGCAGTGCCACTTACTAGCTGTGTGATCTTAGGCAAGTTACTTAACCTCTCTGTCTCAGTTTTATCTTTAATATGTCACAATACCATTATCTACTTCCGAGTTGTTATAAGGAATAACTGAATCATGCATGCCTAGCACTTACATGACATTCACTCCCACTATTGCTATTCACATCACTTAGCACAGATTTTCCTTGTGTATTTCTTTCACGACCATTTCACTGGGTCTCCCTCATTAGCTGTCAGCTCCACACAACAGCCTGGGTTCATCACAGGCTCACACATGTTAATCCTGTGGAGGGAACAACTGAAGTCAGGACAACATCCTAAGGAAATGCCATTAATTCTGGGAGCAGGCAGGATGGGAATTGGAAGCAGAAATGATGGCCGAGCTGAGTTTTGAAAGATAAAGAAGAGTCCTCCAGGACAGACTAAGAACACTAAGGGTGTCTGCCTATGGCTGAGACTGAGGTTCAAATGTGGCTCCTAAATAGACTAAAGCTAAGTGTCTGAGTCTTGCCTCTTCCTCCAGGAAAACTTCTGGGACCACTTCAGTCCCTGTCTGAGCTCCTCTTGTCACTCATTCATTCAGTAGTTTTTGCACTCCTACATACCATGGGAACGTCATTTTATGTCTACAGTTCTCCCTCCCACCCTTACATGGAGGGGCAGGGGTCCTTAATCAAATGACCCCTGCCATACATTGTCAGGATCAACCTCAAGGTCATGCACAAACCCCTTCGCAAACATCCAGACCCCCAGGATGTCAAGGCTGGTGGGGACCTTAAGGACACCCAGAGATGGGGAATATCTGGTCCAAGGTTGCATGTGTACAATGGGGTGAAGATAAAATTCTAATCCAAGCTGACCAAATGTTATACCCTAAACCTCCTCACACCTGAACTTGATCCCTAATGCAGCTGGGGTGTAGGGGTGGGGAGGCACACCTCCAGCTGTTGTTGGGTTCAAGGTGAAGCAGTGGGTCACCACAGGGGGTGGGGAGCAGCATGTAGGTTTGTGGGCTCATGTCAGCAGCACTGCCCTGGCACAGGGCTTCTCAGGGGAACTGGGACACACAGCCCCACCCCCATTCCAGAGTAAATAAAGTTCCTGAGCTCCCCTGGGAGCTGACCTGGACCAGGCTACAACACAGGCTGAGCAGCGATACCCAACCTTCCACTGGGGTGCCAACAGGTCCCTACCCGGCCAGGGGTGTGGAACTCAGTGTCCCGTGTAGACTTACCTTTGGGTGGGAGAAGGCAGGACAGGAGGACCTATTCAGCACCACTAGACAGGCACTCAGTGCTCCTCCAACCACTGCCCCCTAGCTTGGGAGCAGACTCCCCACCTTATTCATTGTCACTCCCTCCTTAGTGCCCTCCACCCTTCACTCACTCACTCACTCACTCACTCACACTGAGTACCCAGTGGTGGGTAAGAGCCAGAACATTCCAACTCCAAAATGCCCACTATCTGCAGAGCCACAAGATACTGACAAGGGCCTCCAACTCTGGCGCGGGGCCCTCCCTTTGTTCCCAGTTTAACATGGCTTTCTTTAGTCCTCAGTGAAGGTAGCTGGGTGAGGGTTTGGGTTTGCTTTTCATTAAGAATGGCTTTGGTAACAGTCCAGAAGAAAACAGTCCCCAACTCTCCTGTATTCCTGGGGAGCTTAGGAATTCAGGAAGGAATAAGGGGAGTACAAGGAGATCTGCCATGTAGGCAATGGTTCAAAGGTGGCAATCCAGGCCAGAGTGTTCCCGGCTAGTATGAGGTCACCAGTGTCACCTTGTGGGCCCAACTTCCACACCCCACAGCCATCTCCACTCCCAGATTCAGCGGGGGCAGGGGACAGCGGGGAGAAGAGGAATGCCAGCAGGGCTCTGAGTAAGGACATGTGGGTTGGAATCCCACTCTGGGCTTTCCTCAAGCTGAGCCTCAGGTTCCTTAACAGCTCAAACTCTGGCCCAGTCGGTGTGGTTCAGTGGTTGAGCGTCGACCTATGATCCAGGAGATCAGGGTTCAATTCCCGGCCAGCGCACATGCCCCGGTTGCAGGCTCGATCCCCAGCAGGGGGCGTGCAGGAGGCAGCTGACCAATGACTCTCTCATCATTGATGTTCTATCTCTCTCTCCCTCTCCCTTCCTCGCTCTGAAATCAATAAAAACCTTTAAAAAAAGAGCTCAAACTCTGGAGCCAAATTCGAGTTCGTGTTCAAATCTCAGCTCTGCCACTTCCTACCAGTGTGATCCTGGGCAAGTGACCCAGCTTTTCTGAGCTCCAGTTTCCTCGTCTGGGATATGGGGATGATAGCTCTACCTCCCTTCCAGAGAACTGAATGGGTTAATATATGCATGGTCAGGTGCCTAGCAGGGTCAGCGCTATGTAAAGCATTGCCCTAGAAAAGGTTATTGTTATCTCCATAAAACAGTCACAGTGATACGTTCCTCCCCTGCTGCCTTCTCCCCATTTACTGATGAGGATAATGGGGAAAGAGTCAGATCAGTGGGAGAAGAGTTAAAGATGACCAGACAGAAGAGAAGACACAGACAGCCCCAGCCACCTGGAAGACGCTCTCTGCCCTGTGCTCAGGGAACAGAGTGAGACACCCTGCTGCTCAGATCCCACCTTTGACCTCACTGAGAACTTGCCTGTGCCCATCTATTCATTAAGCATACCCTGGGGCTCTGGCCCTGCCCCACACTGTGCTGGGCACACCAAGAGCAGCCTTGGGGACTCGCTGGCTGGTGGAAGAGATGCACATGCAAGTCCACCACACAGACAGGTGAGAAGGGGCTAACAAAGAGGCTCCCTGTGCTGAGAGAAATCTGGAAGGCTTTCCAGAAGAGGCAGCATCTGAGCTGAGATCTGAGAGCTCAGAAGTAACTTTCCAGGGAAACAAGTGAGCAGGGAGCAAGGGGAGGCTGGGGGTCACTCTAGCAGAAGGTACAGAATGTACAACAGCACAAGGAGAGAACAAAGTTGGTACACTGAGGCAGTGGCAAGCAGGGCAGGATGACTGCCATACTAGATGCATAGGGGTGGGCAAGGTGAAATGAGAAGGGAGAGGTGGGCAGAGCACATTACCAAAATCCTTTTGTATCAAGTAAGGAACGTAAACTTTATACTGAAGGCAGCCTTCTGAGAAGATGCGGAATAATCGCATTTACCTTTTAGAAGCGTCCCTCCAGTGGAGACTGGATTGGAGGGGCTGGACGTGGGACAGGGAGCCAGGGAGGAGAGGCTGCCCAGAGTTTGAGTTGAGTGGCAGTCACATCAACAGAGGGAGGGGATGGATAAGAGATTTCTTTATTTGTCCCTGTCCCTTTTCAAAAGGCTTTTCCTGAAAACATCCTCAGAGCCCACCCACTCTACGTCCAGCACAACCTCTGCCAGTGTGCCCTGAACCCTTCTCTGTTCACCAGATCTAAAGCCCGCTGAGCACTTGGTCTGTCTCGTGCCTCTGAATCTAATCTCAGTTCCAAAGTCCCTGTTAAGAGGTTCCAGGGAGACGTTCTCTGCGAGGTCACCTTGCAGGATACATTTCACCAGCCCTCCCTTGGTCCTGCACTTGCTCTCCCAAAAGCTTACTGTTCCCGAGAACCCTTCAGAACCCTGGCTTCCCCTGTGGCACTGGCCCACACACCCCAAACCCTGTAACATCTATCAGCTCCATGGCCTTTGAGCCCTGAACTCTGAGAGTTAAACAGCACACAGCCACAGAGCTCATGAGTCCTGCAGAAACACACACAGAGCCCTGCGGAAAGAAACACACACCCCCGGAATAGCACTCCAGACACAAAGAACGTGCACAAGATAATTGCACTCAACTCAACCCGCCCCCGGGGAACTAACGGCCCCTAGGGCTTGTTTGGGGAGTGTTGCTTATAATAAACCAGCCCAGGGGTCCTCGATTTCTCCTGCCAAAAGAGAGTTAGAAAATGGCCCGTGGAAAATGAGAGAGCAGGCAGAGCTTCTGACTTAAAATGGAAACTTCAATTCTCTTTTGGGATCCCCAGATCCTCCCCTCCCCTTTGCCTCCCATCTGCCCCGGCACACCCTCCATACCCTTCGCAGTTGATTTCCAACATTCTGCATCATTGTGGCTGAGACCCCGCTCGCTGGTCGCACAGATGGCAGCACCCTCCAAGAGTCCCGAGTCACCTGAGCAACAGCTCGGGCTCCATATGAAGCCTGCCGGCAGTCTCCTCAGGCTCCTCCCCCCAAGCTCCCGCCCCTGCTGAGCCCAGGACCCAGCCTCCACTCAAACTGCCCGTGGCCCCCCTCCTCCTAGAGCCCCCACACAGCGGGCTCCTGTGCCTGCCTGGTGGACAGGAAGGAAAGAGGCTGCCAGCTGGGGCATAGCCATGTCAGGGGGCCCTGTGCCCGCCCACTGGGCTCCTAGCCGGACACTCATTTTGCTTCCAGCCATAGCCAAACTTAGTCACCCCATTTCCAGCCCCTGACATTCTCTCCACGGGGTCTCTTGGCTCTGGGGTGGCTCCCAGGGGCTGGGCAGCTCCAGATCCCCAGCCCCAGCCAGGCAGACTGGTGAACCGGGCAACAGGTTTCCATCCATGTACAAGGGATCAGGTACAAAGGTGGCAGGAAACCAGGGAGCTGCCAGCAGCGTCCCAGAGAGATACCAGAGCCACCTGCTAGGACTCTTCACCCTTGGAAGTGCTACTCCCCCTGTCCCACTGCTCCAGGCTGCTGGCATCCAGCAGCTGCTGGCCAGGGACAGGGCACACCCCTCACTGCCTTAAAATAGGTGGCATGACTTTTCTAAAAGTGGCGCGTGCCAAAGCCCACGCCATTGGATCCACAGGACTCAGTCCCTGGGCACCCGTCCTAGTCCCTCAGAGCCACTACCGACTGAGAGACACCAGGATTTCCCCTTTTCCCTCTCACTTCTGCAAGAGGCTTAATGAGGAGGCCCTGACACTCAAGTTGGACTGCTTATGACAGGAAAATAAAATAAAGTGCTTGGTGGTTAAGTGAAGAGGAAGGGTGGCCATCCAGGCAGGGGAGCTGGATGGACAAGTGGATCAGGACTAATAATGAACTCCTTACAATAAATGAGCACCTACTGTGTACCAGGCCTCACTATGGTCCTCATTCTAACCCCACCAGAGGGCCTTTGGGGAAGGCAGGTGAAGTGCCCCAGGTGGCATAGCTATTGAGTGCAGAGCTGAGCTGGAACAGAGGTCAGCCTGATTCTGAGACCACTGCCCTTTCCTCTGCCCCTCATTTCCTCTACTTCACTCACCACATACCTAATACTGTCTCCCCCTGGACTAAGACACCAGGGCTCTGGGCCTAGTTCTTTCACATATACACTGTGACTTTGGGCAGGCTCCCTCTTCTCTTAGCCTCCCTGCTTTCGGCGTCAAGGACCCCAATGTCCATCCCTATGAGCTCAGGCCTTGCCCTCAAATTGCTTATGGTTCTGTCAGCAGTTTAGTGTCTACAGATGAAATTAAAGTCGTATCTTAAGGACTGCAAGATGGTCCAAGGGCGGCACTGAGGGTTGGGGCAAAACAGGAGGCTTCATTAAGGAGGTGACGCTAGAGCTGGTCTAAAGATTGAATGGGTTTGGATAAGCTGAGAAGAAGCGTGAGGGGGAAGGCCTAACAGGATCAGAACAGGATGCTGTCATAGGCAGTGAGGATCCTACTTTGCAGAAAAAAGCTGGGAATCTGTCGAGGAGCCTCAAATGCCAGGCAACAGGGTTTAGGCATCAAGAAGCTTCTGACAATGAAAAACATGCTCGACATGACAAAAGCCATGTGAGGTGAACAGGACAGGTTGTCATGAGACTGCCCTGGACTAGTAAGGAAACAGCCCAGAGAGGGGACAACTCATATCACTCAAACTCATTAGGTTTGGGCAGGTGGCCAGGACAATCTCAGGGTTCTCACTATGCAGGTGAGGGAACAGAAACCCAGAGAGCTTCTGGTCCCCAACCCTACCCTCTCTCTAGAGAACTGTCATAGCTCAGATTCACTGGACTTAGCCTAGTCCTCTCATCTTACAGATGGAAACATTAAGGCCCAGAAATGAAAAGTGAGCCCCCCAAAGTCACACAGTGAGGAAGTCATCCAGAACCACCACTCCTGACCTCAGGTGTAGAGCCCTGCCCACCCCATCCCACAATAAGGCATAAAATAAGAGAGGCTGCAGTTAGAGTGATGAGAGAGGACGTCCAGCAAGGTTCAATCAGTATTATTATCAGGAGCAAGCCACAGAGGCCCTCCAGCCCTCAAAGGTCTCTCTCCTCTCTGCTATTTATTACAGAACCAACTCATGTGTATCATCAGTTCTGTTCAGGATGGTACCCCAGTGAATATTTCCATGGATATCTGCCTCCCCTTTCCAAATCACCCGGGAGCCACCTGGGGGCTGTGCCCCTCCCCACCAGCCCCCAGACCAGGGCCCTAAATGCAGGAAACATGAAACACTCTTGCATGAATCATAGTCCTGGAAAGGCAGATGGAGAAGAGGTCTTAAGGGACAACTAGGGCAATGGTTCTCAAACTTCAGCCTGCATCAGAATCAGCTGCAAGGCTTGTTAAACACAGTTTACTGGGCCCCATCCATCTCCAGTAGAGCTGCAGGAGCCCGAGAACTGGCATTTCTAACAAGATCCCAAGGGATGCTGATTTTGCTGGTTCAGGGACCATACTTTGAGGCCCAGTGAACTAGGTCAGCCTTCCCTCTTTACAGCCAGGGAGAATGAGGCCCAGTTAAAGGCAGCTCTTGACAGTCTGTCACTAGCAGCAGCAGCAGCAACACTGCCACTGTCCTACAGCCCTTCTCACATGCCCAGCATTGTGCACACACTCCATGTATCTTACCAGCTTTGGGCCTCGCCCTAAGAGAAAGGTACTATGATTATCCTCTTAGAGAGGAGAAAACGAAGGTAAAGAGTCATTTGTCCAAAGTCACACAGTTGATAAGAGTTAACAGCAGGATTTGAACCCTGATCTAAGTCTGGAGCCCACAAGTTCAACCAGCACTCTACACAATCTGCTTACAGCTTAAGCTAGTCAAGGAATTCTCTAGAGGTTCCCAAATCCAGTAGGTTAATGCCTGGTCCTCGAGTGGGTCTCAGGGGTGTCTTACATCTTCAGAAAGCCTGTCTCGTAAACTCTGTGAGCCCAGAGTATTTTCTCCCACGAACACTTCTTTTCCCACATTATGTCCTTCATCTGGCCCCACCAGATGAAGCTAGGGGGCTTCCTAGCTGGAGGACAAATGTCTGTGTTAATTCTTCAGGTCCATGTCCCAGCTCCACCTCCCCACTGAGTGACAAAAACCAATGAAATAATCTCCATTCATATTCCACTGTCATACTGCATTGTCACCATCAGGCACCAGTCTATCTCCCCCATCAGACCGGGAACTCACAAGGGCTGGGACCTCATCTGAGTCTTATGAGCTCTTAACACAGGGTCTGCCCAGAGCAAGAGTTTAGTGACTAAGTGAAGGAAGGAAGGAAGGAAGGAAGGAAGGAAGGAAGGAAGGAAGGAAGGAAGGAAGGAAGGGGTGTAGGGGCAAAGGAAGAAATGAATGAGTGAATAAATAACCAAATTCCCAGGAATTCTCTCTGCTGGGCCAAAAGTCCTCCCAGATAGAACCACAGACTTTCTACACAGGAGGGGACCTCTGACATCATCCACTCCAGCACTGTCCTAGCTGAGCTCGTCCATGGGCCAGAACCTACAGCTCTACCCACCGCACACATAGCCCCAATACCCCAGCCTCCCCTTACATACCTATGAGATTGAAGAGCTCACTCCATCTAAGACTGCCTATACAATTAAGGGGCTCTAATACCCAGAAGGGCCTTGCCATCAGCCCGTGACCATGGCTCTAGATCACCCAGAACAAAGCTGCTTCCCTGGCCTGTGACACTGGCAGAGATGTGGAAGCACACATCCTGTCTTCTGCCTGGCCCTGGCCTGCCCGTCCAGATTTACTCTTCTAATCTTCTCTAGCCATGAACAGAGCTTCCCGCTGGTGCCTCATACACCTGGAGTTTCCTCTGTTCCTGCTGTTCTCTCCACTCTGATGCCCTCTAATAGCTCTACATCCAAACCCTATCCCCCATCGAGGCCCGGCTCCACTGGCACCACCTCTAGGAAGTTTTCTAGGCCCCTCCTAAGTGGAAATTACGCCCTCCTCCTCTGTACCCTCAATCCACACACACACACACACACACACACACACACACACTTAACACCCCTTTATTTCTCGCTCATGCTGTTTTTTGTCTTAAATTGGGTTGATTTATGTTAATTTCTCCTTCTTGACCTTGAGCAAGCTGGCAGCAGAAATGGTGTTGATTCATCAGAGTATCCTGCCCCCTCCCACTAAATGCTCAGGGCCTTGATCATAGTAGCTGCTCAGTGCCCAGAAACTGAAGCAATGAGTGATTGAAGGGGAAGAAACTAGGGAATGTGTGAGTGAATGGAAGTAAGTACAGGTGTGAATGAATGACTGCATGAATGAACAAATGCAAGAATGTTGTCATCCTCTCCTAGTCTCCAAGCTAAAGACTCCCAGTTCCTTCTGGGGGCCCGTTGGGCATGGCATGACACAATAAAGGAAGTTGTGGGATACATGGGGAGGAGGACAGGAGGGAGGAACAAAGGAAGGAGGTAGTTACACCAGCAAGATAGGAAGTAGAGGTGACCTAAACATTGCTCCAAGGCCAGGCCCTTTCAGAACTACACACTGTGCTTTCAGGAGAAGCTGGGCAAGGAGAGCAGTGAGAAACCAGTTCAATGGCCCCAGGAAGAGAAGACAGAGTTGTGGGGATTGAGAGGAGGGAATGCTAACAGGTCATGGAGGCCAGATTCAGAATGCTGTCAGCCAGCCCTGAACTCCATCCTGCCCAGCAGGCTCAAGCAGGCCCTCCCTCCTCTTCTTTCACCACCTCCTCCTGGGGAGACTGAACCCCTCCTTGGCCCAGCTGCTGGGGTCTGGACCAAGCCTGGCTTCCTTGATTGGGTCCTTGCAGGAAAGCTACTCACAGCATGGGCTAGTGCTACACACACACAAACACGCAGTGCCCAAGTGAGTCAGCAGTGGCTTCCCATCCTCTGGACTCTGAGTCA